TTGTGTTTATCGACTGTAAATTCCAGACCCTGTCTATTTAGCATGTTGGTAAGCGGTGTTAGTGCTAAGCAGAATAGGAGGGGAGAGAGCGAGTCACCCTGGAAGATTCCTCTCTTGATTGAGATATCTTCTGTCCTGAGGCAGCCTCCTTGAGTGAAGAGGAGCATTTCAGTCTTCCATTTCTTCATTGTAGCTTCCATGAACTGAATGATGGTTGGTGACACACGGTAGATTCTCATGGCTGCGAGAATCCAGGAATGTGGAACACTGTCGAAGGCTTTCTTATAATCAATCCACGCCATTCCTAGGTTTCTCTTGAGCTTTTTTGCCATGCTCACAATCATGTTACTAATGAGAAGTTGGTCTTTGCACCCTCTAGACGCTCTTCTACAGCCTTTCTGCTCATCTGTAAGGATGTCGCTCTTCTGTAAGTGATTGTAGAGGCGGTTGCTGATTGCAGCAGTGAGAATCTTGTAGGTGGTAGGCGGGCAAGTAATTGGTCGATAGTTCTTAGGTTCTTTTGTATCCTTGCCTTTTGAAAGAAGGAAAGTGATTTCTGATGTCAACCACTTAGGGCTATTGCTTGGATCCTTGATGGTGTCATTCAAGGCCCTGGTTAGTTGTTTATGGAGGGCACTTAAATACTTAATCCAGAAGTTGTGCAGCTTGTCTGGGCCAGGAGACTTCCAGTTGTGTGTCGGCTTGATAGCCTGCTGTACTTCACACATTGTAATGTCAGTCCATGCATCCATTGCTACATTCTGGAATGCTTCCTCCTCTTGTTTGATCCACGCGGCTTTGGTATTGTGGTCTGTGCCAACCTCCAATATTCCACGTCAGAATTGATCGAGTCGCTCTTTCGAGGGAGGCTCCTTGATGGTGCTTTGCTGCTCGTTGAGATGCTGGTAGAATTTTTTGGCATCTTCATGGAAGAGCTTATTCTGATAGTAGTGCTTACTCCGCTTAGTAAACCTTCTCAACCTCTGAGCTTTGGCCTGTAGCTTCATCTTTATTTCTTGTTCGAGCTCGCATATGGTCTTATTCTCCCTTCGGCTCTTGCATAAGATGCTCCTGGCCTTGGCATGTACTTGCTTTGTTGTGACACCTTTTTTTATTTCGCTAAGAATGGAGAGGTCCTTGCGATGGTTTTCAATTTTTGTTCTGATTCTCTTCTTCCATGTTGGTTCCTCTGTGGGCTTCGTGACTTTCTCTTTTGTCTCTCCAGCAATAACAGCAGCAGTCGCGTACATTAATTCATTGATTTCTGATAAGTTTAGATGGTTATCTTTGATGATATTGGTGAGGGCCTGATTTGCAGCTTGAATATCGTGCCGTATTGCCTTGTTGAGATGAATCATTATTATTATTATTATTATTATTCTTATTATTATCGTCATCATCACCATCATCATCATTTTTAATTAATGAAACTTTAATGAATGAATCACATTGCTAGAATTTGAATAACGTAACAATGGTAATAATTATAATAATAATAATAATAATAATAATATTAATAATAATAATAGTGTGCTAGCGTTTGTAATTTGCGCTTAATTGTGTTGTGTTCCTTACGCTACGGGCCTATCTACTTACAGGAGGGCATTCGAGTATTGAAAACCGAACACAAACTTACGTATACTAGGCGGCCATTCTTCGCGGCGACTACCTATATTTTCGTTCTTAGTGCGCCACCCGTCAAGCGGAAAATACCTGCACTACAACTTTGTCGCTATGCTGTTGAACGACATGTACGGTATTCAAGTCAGAGGCGGCTGCGCATGCGCCGGTCCGTACGCAATGGTAACTCATGTTTTATTACGTGCGTTAGCCTATAGGCATAAGCAACAAAAACCCTCTACAATATTACTATACTTATCCTATCCTCTATTGATGAGGTGTGCCTAATAACTGATCTGATAAATTAT